TACTTATTTTAAATTAACGGCAGATCATTCTGAATGTTAAAAAAATACACTGATTTACGTCAAGTTTTCACTAACTCTCACAAGTCCACTTCAGTAAAGCATATGCTCTTTGAATCAACAGCACAAGCACACATGAACAAGTGGATGTAAAATGTATCCGCAAATTATGGAAATTTTTGAAATAGTATCACTTTAGCAGACAAATCAAATTATAGTGGAAGTCTAAAGTCCCTTTTTTCATTTAAACAATAAGCAAGTTTTTAAGTGACACAATGTTCTTTGGAACATTCCAATGACATCCTGATTTTTTTTCAATTAAACTTTATTTTAAAATGTATTTATAAATTCAATTCAACTTTATTTTTTATTTAAAATTTATTTTTAGGAAAAAAAGTTATTCAGTTAGAAAATAGAAAAGAGAAGAACTTTCACTAGTGGTTGCAGATTTTTGGACCCACTGTATCATTCATGACTACAGGAAAAATACAGAATTTGTAAACAGCTGTGATATAGAGTTACTAAGGACTGGATTACCTTACATACTCCACGGTCACCGTTTGGAGTGACATCAGTGCCTTGGGAGGTAAAGACATCAGTTGGGCACTGGTTAGTGGAAAAGATATCCTCTAAAGATGACATCTCACCACTCATACATACCCGTGTTCCCCTAAAAACAAAAATACAATATTTACCTTTACATTTTAGCCAATTATAATAAGCCGCTGCTATCTTTAGACAAATGCAAATTGTCAGTTGTTACCTGTCTGTGTGTGTGTGTGTGTGTGTGTGTGTTTAGAAGCAGATGCATGTAGAGTTTTGACTCTGGAATGAATTACCTATCACAATCAGACTTGCCCCCTCTGTATCTGCTTTTAAATCTAGCTTAAAAACGTATTTGTTTGACAAGGTTTATAATCTGTATTAACACTTTCCTGCCTTACATTTTATTGTTTTTTATTATACTTTGTGTATTTTTAAGTAAATGTGTTTTTGTGTTTTCATTTTTTATTTTGTTGTAAAGCACATTGGACAACCATGGGTTGTAATTAATGGTGCTATATAAATAAATTTGCCATTGCCATTTTGGGGTATTTTTATTTAAATGTACACCAAAGCTTGTGAACGTGTGTGGCGGAACACTATGTTCCTTTTATTCAGAGGTGCTGGCACAAATTCAGATTCTAGAGAAGGGTGTCTTGCGAGATTTATGTCAGTAAACCTAGTAAAAAGACACGGGAACAAAACAGAACAGAGAAGGGAACATTCAGTCCAGTCCACTTTACTTTAGGCGGCGAGATACTACAATCACTCAAGGTTCTCAATCAAAGACATTCATTTTTATCCACACACATGCTGAAGGTTACAGGAAGCAAATAAATTTCATATGCAAATAAAAGTTCAATAAATGCATAAGAATAGATATAGCAGCACAATGAGCACATACCTAAATAAAGACAACAATAAAAAAGTCTATGTCTGTTTTTTCTGGAACTGCTCTGTGCCAAACTGATCAATGAATAACTATCATCTTTTAGCACTGAAAGTATAATATATTCATTAATACAAATATTCACCTCACTGCATATCAATTTAGGGCTTATGTCTTGGAATGGGAATATAGCAGAGTGAAAACTAACAGTCCAGGCTATTTGACTCGCAAAATAGTCTGCTACCATCCTGGCTGCAACATCATTGCTGTGGAAACGTATCGTTCTTTGAGCACGATTTATTCTGAAAACCCAAGATGAAGGAGGTGGATGTACAGTAAGTAAGTCAAAAAGAGTCACAGATACAACTGCAACACCAGGAAGCCTTATCACTGTAAAGGACGCAGAAATAATAGCATACACATTTTATGTTAAACATCTTACTGTACAAGAAGTAAAAACTTCTTTGGTTTTGTTGGCATGATTTTTTCCATTTTAAATGTTAACAAATGTAACTAAATTCTGACCCTGGGCTAAGTAAATTAATCACCCGAAACCTTTTTTGTGCTTCTAAAAGTTTTCTCGGAATCAAGTGTTATGAAGTTCCTCTAATAGATGTTCCTTAAAAATCAGCCATAAGATGTAACGATGATGAAGGCTCACATAAAAACCCTGCGTTTGGTGTGTACTTCACCACTTGTTGCATTTAATAACTTAAATTGTTCTCGTTTTTTACTCATTTTATTCAAGGACCACTCATCTGATAACTCATCTGTCTATATCTCAACTTGTACTGGTCTGTCCCACTACCAACCAGACTGTCTTTGTCTGTTTGTCTACCTGTGTTTGTCTCAATGCCTGGTTATCTATTCATGCTTTTCCAGCTAACTGTCCCTAAATCTTTCTCTCCAGTGATCGACTCGTTTAAAGGTGGTGTGACTTTTCTAAGCCCTTATTGGAGCTCCATATCAGATGTCCGCAGTGTGGTGAGATTGCAACAGGCATTCCTGTAACAAAGATGAGTGTTCAGAGACAGTTGACTCATTCCATCCTTGAACATACCGTCCACAGTTAAACACAACATGTGCTCATACAGATTCCGAGTTAATCACCTTGTCAGACACCCAGTATCTTTCTGTATTAATGACATACAAGCTGTCCAAAACATCAAAATTAAATTATCTGTAGACAATGATGGTTTTGCAACTCTTGAAAACATCTCTCACACAGAAATCAAGGGTGTGACCACGTAAACAGTGAAGGACAGAAGCATCTGACACCAATAATCAGATAAGGGAAATATCATTTCAATGGTTGATTGTTAAATTATCATATTTGATCCTCCCAGACCTGAATATATGGTTACACACTAAAAAAGGAGCTTGTAAAAGACACAAGGATCCACTTGTAATTTACATTAAAATGTGAAATATAATCTAAACAGATTTTAGAAAAACATGCTTGAGAAAGCCAGTCAGTGTAACCTACTCTGAGCAGCATCTGGGCAGTGGTATAACGGTTAGTCGGGGTCATGAAATGACATGATTTACAAATCTTGAAAACCTGAATTCCCAGCACATCTCAAACTAAAAATAAAAAAGGCAAAGGCAGATAACACATTTTCAATCCACAAACATATTTCTCATTTCTACATTATAAACACCAAGAACATCTGTCTTTCAGACTGTCCTTAAGATGGATTAATGAGAAAGAGAGTCTGTGAAATAGTAAGCAAAAGTGTGTATACAATATAAAGGATTATAAAATGTAAAAGGGCCATTTAAATTAATACAAATTCAAGGAGTTCACTACCATCATAATTGAAAGGGGTACTTCACGTCCTCTCAGTTTCGTACAATCTTCCGTACATCTCAGACGCAACAAAAGGCTATGAAACCCATAGCAACATGCAAATAAGATTACAGCTACAGTTTTCTTTCCAACATTAGTATTTATTCTTTTATTTTAATTCAAATATAAAGCCACATTTTGAAGAAGGGTTTAATTATTTGTTGAGAACAAGCAAGATAACTGTTAAATGACGTGTGTAATTAAATTGAGCGCGCTATTTTACTTTATTTTGTAGGTAAAGCATAACACCGTGAGAAAACAGGCTTTTCTCTTTACTAGTGACCATATTTAGAAAGCTGTTTTAAATATAAAAGGTAGATTAAGTGATGGATAAAGAATAAAAAACAAGCATGAAATAAAGACTTACAATATTTCCCTTTTGTTGCTCGTTCCTCTCATGTGTTTGACCATATATCCGTCCGTATGCAACTTCAGTTTGTCTTACCGGCGAATACAACCTGTGCCTAGCGGCTTAAAGGCGAATGAGCCCGCCCTCTCAGCGCGAGAGTACTAGATGTTCTACCGGCTGTATTTTACACTTCTCCACACTAATAACCATCAACACGATACTCTACGAGACATTTGGACGGGGAAAATGAAATGAGACTAAAGGAGGAGGAGTAAACGCGGGGGAGGGAAGTGTAGTGTAAAAATTAAGGGCAGGCCTTGGAAACTGTCCACAAAGTAACACAATGTTCCGGCTGTACTGTAGCTCGCGCTGATGAGAACACAGTGTCCTAGTAGACACCCTGACCCCGTAACCCGTTGTGTGCTGACTGAACAGCTCAAGTTGGAAACAGCATGTACAACCACACAGTCAGAGCACAGCGATACGCGGAAAAAACAACACGACTAAATTGTTTAAAAAAACGTGGAAGTTTAAAATGATAGAACGCACCGCATTCTTAAAATTAAAACAAAATAATTAATTAATAAATTACAAAAAAAATCCGGTTGCGGTACAGCTGACAGCTGAAAAAAAATTATGGTAGACGTTTGAATAGTATTTTTGGATTGCATAACCACCATAATAAAACAGGTGATGAAATGAAGATGAATTAATGTTCATCAAAATAATTTTCATTTATCATGCCTATGCACTACACAAAACACCATCAGGGTAATAATGCAAGAAGCCTAAACATTAATGAAATGACATAAATGTAATATAAATATGCTATACATATATACAGTATAACGGGTTACACTAATCATTAGAAAATGTATTATTTCAATAAAACATTATAAAATGTAAAGTCTCCCGCAAGGACCTCTGGGAACCTTGTTACTGTAATTTTGACAAAACTATACTGTAAATGTTACTGTTTTGTAGCTCCCATGTACATGCATTTTTAATGCAGATTTTCACCATAAATCACATACTAGTACTTTTCGCTTCCAATTTTATATAGCATTTTACAGTAAAATTGCATTTATTGTCTGTTAAATCCATTTTTTTATTGTAAGGTAACTTACAGTTAACAGGTTTTATTGTTTTCTGTTTAAGATGATACATTGTCTATTCTGTGTTAGAAGTGTGTTGACATTTAAAGCTAAGCAGCATCTTCAATGTATTATGTTTTAAAGATTTAATTTCTACACAGAATAATTCCATGTCAAGTGGATATGTTGAAATCAAATCCAGCCTTTCAAGTTAGCATGCCAAATATTGAACAACATCAGCACTGGCTGATGTTACCTCCCTCAAAAGCAAGACTGAAACTGTTACAAAATGTTCCTGACTCATTCACTAGAGCAACAAGAGGTGTCAGCAGGAATACAGGTGGCATGCATGATTGTCTGGATTTAAAGGGATTGATTTCCCTTTTCAAGCCTGATTTTTCAGGTAATAATTTCAGATGGATAGTTAATCCAGGAACATGATGAGCTCTGCGGTTAAAGTTATTAAAGATTCTGTGCAGATTCAGTATATCAAAGATATATGATCACCCAGAGAAATGCTATTCATTTATTTGATTGATTTGTAATTTTGATATGCATTTTAGAATATTTTCAAATGTGCCCAAAATGTAATTAATTAAACTTATATTTATTTAATATGATGTCAACAGGCCTGCAGCTTTTCCAGGATTATCCAGGAAACTGAAGTACTCAAGCATGGAAGAGAGTAGAACAAAACGCTGCCTCAGTTTGGCATCTTAGCAGCAGGGATCTGCGACAGAGCTTACTTATAATGTGAAACTGCTCAGTGCGGATGGCACAAGCAAACAAGTGTGGGGCATTCAAGAATAAGGATTCAGAGCAATATGTCACTGCCAACAAGGTCCAAGTGGGGACATTTCATGTAAACTTGTTTGACCTTTCTCCTGTTCGTGTTCTATGATCATATTATGTATAAGTGATCTATAATCTATATTAAAATCACTCTGTCCATTTTATTCATCATCAATATTTTGTTCTGGTTTTTTTCTTCTTACAATTCTGACGTGAAAATTAAATGTAGAAAAATAAACACACTTGTGGTTATGTTTTTAATTTACCGATATCTGTTGTAAAAGAAATAACATTTTTCTTTACTAAAGGCTTAGTGGCGATGACATTCAGAATATGATTAAGGTATTCTTCTGTCAAAGGGTGAATAGGCCATTATTCTATGTGGTTTCATTTACATAAAAGGAACTTATACTCTTTATGAACATAGTTTGTACATTTATTAATCTAGACTATTTTCAGTATGGATCATAAACAGTTGCTTGAATAAAATACATATCAATTACTTGAATTGTTATCAGAGGGTTATAAAGTACTTTAATAAATGTACCTCATTCATGTGCTAAAGTAATATTTTCGATTAAGGTTTTGATCTATCCAGAACATCTGTGGCTTGTTGTTTATTAACCACTGAAGTTTGACTCATCTCTCAATTTGTTAAAAAAAAAAAAGCATTTACAGAGCAATTAATGAATAATAATATACCACCACGACCTGTCATTTGATTCCTAGCATATTTGCAATAACCAGATTTTTATTTTTAGCAATATTATATTCTTCCTAATTTGCATAGTGTAAATCCTGTTTAGTATGTGAGATTTAAATTAGCTACTAGATAATTAGCGTGTCAAATCATAAAAAATGGAAATGGTATGCTGTAATTTCAGAGACCACAATTTAATGATGTGCTAGTATGTCAAAAATATGTGTACAGTTTTCTACATATATATAATGCACTTATATGCACTTTTCCATCATCTGCAGAGCACATACTTTTACAAATATTTCAAATAGCCTATGTCAAGTAACAGGTCTTAGGATACTGGTTTCAGTTCATTTCAATTAACATCTGGTGTGTTCTAGGGCCTTACATGCTTTAAGCTAACCACTTTTTAGTTAGATCCTTTTCTTACAGCACAGTGATTCACCCACCATTAACATGATGTTTAGAGAGGATATGAATAATCTGTTTGGTGATGCAAAACACTCAAAGGGTCCAAAGATGTTTAGCAAATATGTTAATAAAAGCAAGTTTGTTCACATTTTTCATATTTTGTCATAATATCTACATCTAGATGACCGTCCATGTCATACCAGGTTCTATATTCATTTTTATCTTCTTGTTTCATAAGCATAAGAAGCATTTATGGGTCCACAGTCTATGCATGGTATCCAAATTTAACATAAAAAAACAACATATTTTCAGAGAGGACATGAGGATTGTGGATGGAAACGACTGTAAAGAATAGCATGCAATAAGGAGTGATTATAGGAGTATCACCTTGTCGCCAAATAATGTCGATTTTATTGGTTACAGTCAAGAGAAAAATCCTGCTCGCTTGTTCACTGGTTTCTCAGATCAATAGGTCCGCGCGTCAAGAACTAAATGTTCTAGTTCACAGTGGCACGTGCGGTAAAGGCTCTGTTGACTCATCGGCGCAACGGAGGTAAGAAGTGGTACTGAACTTGACAAACCTGGTCTTGCGCACACGCGTCGTCTGTTTTTAGCATGCAGCTTAAGAACATTTAATACAAACGTCTGGGAAGCGGAATTAACATGGCATGTGTAAGTGTCTTTATTCGCCTGAATGCACGGACCTGCTTTTTGGCATAGGACAAAGCGAGAGGTAATAACCTTCTATGTACCAGCATTCTAAGGAAGGAACCACATTTATTTATGTCGCCAATAACAGGAAATTGTAGGCTAGAGCTAATAAATGTGATGTGTGTCATTAAGAGTGTGGGTTATAAAGAACTTTAAAAAAAAAATTCCTATCCCAACGGAAGTAGTTTCAATTGGTAAAAGAATTTACATTTCTTTTTCTTTTCATTTTTTTTTTACTTTGATTCTGTGTATATTAAATTATGCATCTTTTGTCGTTGTCATGACAACGTGTCTTGTCTTCTTATTGTGAGTCTTATAGGTGACTATACAGCCTAATAGAAGAGTTCAGGAGGTAAAAATTCTATTAATTCTCTCCATAAACTAACAGCTTTTTAATTAAACCACATAAACAGACCTACCATAAGCTGGGAGATTGTTAAGCATTGATATATTTTCTGTAGAAGGCACAAATGTGATTTCAACTTTGTTATAAAAATGTTTATTTGTCTAATTCCCAGGAAAGAACTATACAACCCTATAGCCTAATCTAGAAAAGCAATCCAAAAATCAGAGAATTTGTTGCTACTATTGAATTATAAATGTAATTAGTGGCAAAAGAGCTCAACTGTAACCATCCACTCCCATAAAGCATTGCAAACTGTCAAACTACTCAGACTGCCTTCTATTAAAATAATAATAATAATGCAAAAAAAAAAGATGTTATTTGACATTTTAGATAACATTTATCATGATTAATGTTAGTGGTGTCCAGAGCTTTAAAATAAAATAGTTGTTTTGCGCTTTTAATGAAATTATCATTAAATTTGACCAGTTCAGTCTAGAAATTAGTCAAAACGAGCTGATATTGCTTCTGGTTCATTTGTCACACAGGAAATGTCAGGCCAAGTCCACGCATTGCATTGTGGGATACAGTATTCTGCACAGTGTGCTCTGGTTTATTGCATATTTTGGTAAATTTAGTAGGTCATCTTTGTGAGATTTAAGATTTTTAAAATGTTTTTAAAATAAGTTCCCTTTCATGGGAACTTCGAACTGCGTCCTCTAGGGGTCGCTATGGGGAACGCCTCGTCGTGACCCGTGTCTGAAGCATACATTGAAAAAACACCAAC